GCTAAATCCAAATACTTGAAATCGGTAAGGACAAATAAATCACAGCAGAACTGCATCCCTGATTGCTATGATGCTATCTGAAAAGTGCTGACAGTTGGGCAGGAGCTGAGACCCAGAAGCAGGATACTTCCTAGCGCCAGTTTGCTTAGCATAGGGACCTCCTGATGTCTCTAGCCACCACAAGGAGCTATATTGGCCAACAATTATTTTGTTTTACAGACTGTATAGGAACAGCCCACCTCATGGAGTTGAACAAATAAAACACTATTCAATGACATGTACTTGGTGGTGTGAAGTGGAGGGAATGGGAATGAGCTCCTTCAAGTCTGAGGCCACGTTCTCGACTGGAAAAAGGTGACCTGTCCCCTTTAGCTTGGAGGAGATTTCCTGCTTCAGGTGGAGAAGTTTAACTATCCAGGGTTCCTGTTTACGGGTGACGGGAAAATTTGAGTGGGAGATCAATGGGTGGACCAATAAAGGCAGCTATATGATTGGATATAATGCAGACGCTGCAATCGTCTGTTGAGGTGAAGAGGGCTGAGCAAAAACGTAAAGCTCTTGGTTTTTGGGACGGTCTACATTCCTAACTTCATCTATGGTCATTAAATCTGGATCATGACCAAAAGAACAAGATTCCAGATACAAGCGGCTGAGAGCTTTCTCTGTGGGTGGCTGGGCTCTCAATAGAGATAGGGTGAGGAGTTTTTTCGTTCAGGAGAGGCTTGCAGTAGAGTCATCCCTCCTCCACATCGAGAGGGGTCACCTGGTCAGGGCGACAGTGGTGCCGAATGTAGGAGTTTGCCCTGAAATTGAAGGATTGATGGTTCAAGCCCCGGCTCTGACTTTCAGTGACGTTGTCTCCTTGGGCAAGATACTTCACCTGCATTGTCAGAGGTGGTCAGAGGGCCCGGTGGCGCCAGTGTACGGCAACCCCGCTTCTGTCAGTGAGCCCCAGGGCAGCTGTGGCTAAAATGTAGCTTGCCGCCGTCAGTGTGTGCATGCATGAATGGGTGAATGAATGTAGTGTAAAGCGCTTTGGTCAATTCTCCTGACTTGAAAAAAGGGGCTATATAAGTACAGGCCATTTACCATTTACCTGAGGTGGCTCGGACATCTTTTTCGGATGCTCCTGGATCTCTCGTTTGCGAGGTGTTCCAGGCATGTCCCACCGGGAGGAGGCCAAGGGGACGACCAAGGACACACTGGAGGGACTATGTCTCTCGGCAGGCCTGGGAGTGCCTCAGGCTTCCCCCAGCAGAGCTGGAGGAGGTGTCTGTGAAGAGGGAAGTCTGGGAGCTTCTGCTGAGACTGCTGTCCCTGTGACCCGGTCCCAAACTAAGCGAAGACGACGAGTACAAGCACGAGTAATTGGTACAACACATAATGCTAATGTTCTTACCTTCAAATGTTTTATGTTTTATGATGGAGAACTTCAGCTGGTCACTACGTCTGAGTCATTTTCAGGAAGGAGGTCGTTCCTTATTGATCAGTGTCATTCTTCTGTGTGTCCGCCCCCATAATGATTTCCACAATGCTCAACTTTTCCAACTCTTCATACCGATTTGACTAATTTTAATAACTTTACAAAACAAACTATAAGACTATTAGCTATTGTTTGATGTTATTTAAAGAAATGAATATTCCTTAATTGTTTTCTTCTGTCCTTTCCATTTTTAGACATAATCCCTAAGCCGGGTTGTGACACTGTCCAGTCAAAATAAACATTTACTGCTTCAACCCCCTGATGGCCCCCCCACCGTTTTCTCACTGTGTTGTGTATTAGGAGGTGCTTATGCGATCCTGCTCTGTGTATTCCTTCAGTAATGCTGATCTATTATCGGTTCTGCCCTACAATGCTGTTTGGGTCATAGCTGTGATCCCTCAGACTGTCAGACCATTACAAAATGTGAATAATCTGACACTGGGTTCCAGGACAGGAAACTGGAAACCTCAAATGATTCAGCAACCAAATTGATCTCGACATGGCTGAGTGACTGATGGCATTCCCAGGAGCGTGGTTCATCCCTTGGCTGGCCGCTCTCTGCCAGGCTGCGTGTGGGACAGCAGAGGTGATAATCAGCAGTGGCTGCAGGGACTTTCTTGTCCCTGTTGTTATGCCTCGTGGAGCAGGGACTCCCATTTGGTCTCTGATAACTCAGCCCCCCTCTGCCATTGCTTGAGCCCACCTCCCTGTAATCCCTTTTTCTCTCAGTCAACCATTAGTTTCCTCCTGAATAGGAACTGCTCTCAATCCCACGGCTTCTTGAGAACACATTGAGTGAAGAAAGTCTTGAGCATTCTCTGCAGGGACAGTAGGTCAAAGAGGCAAATCTGAAGGTGACTCTGCAGCTTTTGCAGCTGTCGATCAGGAGTTACTGAGGTCTCTGTGTCCGTCTCTTGCTGGCGACTGGTGTTGTTACTGTCTGTCCGTCCAGAGCGGAGAAAGCTGAACACAGAGGGCCAGAAAAAGTGGCCTTAACAGAGTTTGTTGTGTTTGGGTCACAGCTGGTTTTCTGCAGCCGGTTACAGGTGTAAAGGCTTCTGGTGGTGATTCCAAGTCCACCGTGTCATGCAAGCTTGGGATTGGACAAGAGCTACTGAGAGTGTAAAAACAAGCCAAACAAAAATGCTGGGAAAAGGACAGGGTGGCGGATACGTCCCTGAGATGAACGAAGCACTGCAGAGGTAAGAGAAAATAATTTAAAGACAAAAATCAGAAAGTGTCAGAATGTGTTTATGAAAAAGGAAAGTAACCTTCATTTATTTAAATTTGGGTCATGTAGTCAAAAGCTGACAAGGAATTTAACAGGGAGATAAATTTGTGGCATTTTAAGGTAAATAAACCTCAATATTTCTTTTTAAGTAAAAATAAAGAAAATTTAAATAAAAATTAACTGAAAAAATATATGAAAATAATTAAAATTATTCACTTAAAATAGTCTCTTTTTTTTAAAAGAAAACCATTTATTCTTTTTTTTAATTTTCTCGGGATTTAAATTGATTAAATGTACTGTAATACTAGCCTACCGACGTTAATATTTATGAAATCACTGTCAAATGTTTCTGAACCCAAAATATTGTTGTTTTAATACCTGTTATGTCTATATTTAACAAACATGCATAGAATCTTTCATTTATTAGTTTTTTACTTAGATTTTTGTCAGATTAACTCTGGAAGGAGCTGCACTTTAATCCAACATCAAAAAAGCAGTGAATACTGAAACTATAAGCATCAAGTCAGCATAATTTATTAGGATCTAGTTTCTATTGGCCTTGTTGCTAAAAAAAAAAAGTGTGGTTTTCAGATATTTTTTTTCTCAATTTTTCTGTTTATTTTTGTAAATGGAAGATTTACATTTATGTCCAGCAAACCCCAACATGGGATCATTTCCTTCATCTTAATTTTGATCTACAGCAAATTAACGATGCACACCTTCCTGATATTTGATCATTAAATGCCTTTTACTTTTCCTAAAAACAGCCATAACATTACATTTCTTTAGTTTGGAAAACTTTATAATCCTACTAGATCTTTATTTCTACTTTCCTCCAACTCTGTTATTTTTTATTATTCTGCACTCCATTCCACCGACAGAGTAATTCAATAATTACAATTTGTTTTTAGGTGATGTGTTTTTGTGTTTACCCTTCAATTATACACAATTCTAAGCTTTAAAATCTACAGAGTGACTTTCCTAAATGTCTGACTTCAAATGTAATTAATAAACCTTCTATTATTATTAAACTATTTAACAAACTGTTATTAGCAAAAATTTATTAAAATTTTAAAGCCGAAGCAGATAATTATATATATATATATATATATATGTTTTAACAAAAACATAAAGCAGACAATGTTAAAAAATGGCAGGATTTTTATTAAATCACCACAGTGTAATTCAATAAAACTAAAATGTAAAACTATCCAATAAAAAGTTATTTTATTTGGAATTTTATTAGAATATAAATCAGCGGAGCTCTGCAATAAGACTTGAACAGTTTTACACTTATTGCTATAGAATAGGGAAATAAAAAATTAGGAAAAAAAGTCTATTTTTCTGATGAAGCTTTACTTATTAAACCTTTCAGTAATTAGAATTACGGTCAGAAGCTTCTCTTTCATTATAAACTAAATTTACTGCGTAAATCTTTCTGGACGCAGATTAGTACAGTTTGTTCATTCAAGTATTAACAAAGTTTGTCAGTTTAATTTTTTTAACTAGAGAGGAAGAAGATGCTTGCATATCTCTAATTGACCATTTACAGTAATATATTAATTTTCTCTCAGAAGTAAGAGCTGCGATGCTTCTGCAGGGTCTGTTCTTTTGTTTTCAGTTTGGTGCTGATATGTCCGTTTTTTTCTGGTTTAAGGAATAGGGAAGCATGGTAAACATGTTTGGTCACATATTTCTCCCATTAGTGTTCATATCTCTGCTTGTTTTTCTTGTTCCGTTTGCTCATCTTACCGCTCTGCCAGCTGTATATCACTGAAACACGGTGGGCTTGAATTATACCTGCACAAACTCTGCAGGTCCTGATCAGCTCACTGACATGTGACAGTGCCACAGATCATCTTATGCCAATTTATTAGTGTCATTTACTTAATTTTAAACTTTGTTTTTATTAATGTTGCATATTTTTTTAATCATGTTATAATTTTCAAGACAAAGCTGCTTATTATGTAATTTATGATTTTTTTGCCTGAGGCCACACAGAAGTCGTTAAACTAAAGGCAGAATTAAAAAAGAGATCATAGTTTCCAAACACGTTCATACATTTTCATTTTGGGAGACATGTCCTGTGCTCTGATGGATGTTTAATAATTATAACTTAAATCTGAAGTGAAAAGGGTGAAGCTTGAAATCTTGGAAGTTTGGTGAAGCGTCATGGTGAGTGAGAGCTGCAGGAGCGACTAGTTCACTTTGCAAAATAGAATTTAATATGTAAATATTAAAGCAGCCTGCTGATAGCCAGAAATTTAAAGCTGCAGAAAACTTCGGCAAGAAACCCAAAGCACACAATCACAATGGTTCAAGGAAAGAAAAAGTCAATGTTTTAGAACAGGCATCACAAACCTCTGTCCTACTGAAAGCTTGTTGAACAGGATAAGTTTATTTTGATTTCATTTTAAATATGGAGCAGTAAATTGCTTGTGTCATGTAGAATTGCTTCATGCTGCATTCATCTGCTCAGATGTCTTTCTATTCTAATACGTTTTATTTCTAACACTCCAAATATGTTTACATGTGCATCACTCTCCTTTCTATGTCATCATATCAATCCCTACTTTATTGCAAAAATGACCACAGAGATTTTTTTGTATGTACTTTGCACCTGACTTTTACAGGTACTAAACTTAGGTGCAAATACTGAGAGTTTCAGAAAAAAGAGAGTTTCAAATAAAAAATCTCAAAATGCTTTAATTGTGTAGCTACATTAGAGGATTTTCCACCCATAAATTTGTTCAATTTGGTCAATAGAATATTCTTTGCAAATTGATGAATCTGTGCATTGTCAGCTCAAATGAAAGTGCATATCAGTTTGAGCTTTCTTGAAGGATCTGCACTGCATGTGCAAAGAAGCGTGTGTGTTTTTTAATACACAATACCTTTTGAAGTTCAGTCCCTTAGTATAAATATCTGCCATATAAGAATCTTAAGTCTTCTCAGAACTCTTCAAAGAAAATAGGGAGCCCTATAGGCAGAATCTGAACCAGAATTTGAACTATAGGATCCATATTCAGTTACCGCAACCCTAATTGCTTCACTATGTTTGTTTGCGCCTTATGAAGGGCAAATAGTTTTATTTCTTTCTGTTGATTCAGCAATGATTTCTTGACAGATTGTCTTTTGTCTAACACCACTGGAAAAAATCCAAATCTAGATAAGTCATTTTTTCTTAAAAAAAGTGCATTTGTTCTTGGATTGAGGAGATGAAAGAGACATTTTGCCAATGGAACAAGACAATTTAGATTTAAAATAAGAAAAACACAATTGCATTTTCTTATTTCAAGTGCATATTATCTAATTATCTTATTTTAAGACTAAAAACACTCATTCCATTGGCAAACTATCGCGTTTACCTACTCAAATTAAGGGTAAAAACGCTTAACGCTTAATATAAGAAATTTTTACTTCTTTCTAGATCGCTTTTGCAGTGCAAAGATTTAGTTTGTGAGATATTTCAAATGCAGCTCACTGCTTCACTTGGGATCCTTAGCAGCAGGTTGTTCTACTTAAGACATGGGCTTAACCTTCTTACAGCAAACAAACTACAGGAACCCGGATGAAGGAAAAAGTCAGAACAGGAGTGATTACAGAAAAAGTAATGAAGGAATGACAAACAAACCAGAAGACCTGAGAAGACAAAAAAAGGACCAGCTAAGGAAGGATGAAGCAGGGCAGCTGAAAGTACTAATTAACCCCTAAACAGTAACAGAAACAAAAGTCACCCTAGGAAGTATCTAACAGAAATCAAATAAGAAATACAAAATGTATAAAACAACAAACTAAAACAAATAAGCTAAACACAAAATGATGCACTAATATGTAAAGCACCTCTCAAATACGTAATAATAAGAGTGAAGTGATTAAATTAATGAGTACTTTCGTAATTTCCACTGGAAAGCTAGGAAGATTCTGTGAAAATCGACTTGTCGAGATTAGGTAAACTTTGACCTTTCAACATGGGGGAGAGCAGAGAAACTATTCTGTATGCTGAATACTACACCATTAAATGACCTCTCCCATTGTCTTTTAAACACTCTGAAAAGTACAGCTTTTTACCTTTCACTTTTCAACCAAAAGTAGACGGCGTTTGGACATAAATCACATAATCTTTTCTATGTCTTTTCAATCAATTTTTGCTTGATGGGATGCAAAGCCACATATAAAAAACAGTTATGTCATGCTTATTTATGCAATGTCTTAAAAACTAAACCAATGTAAGTAGGTCAGCTCTTTTTAGAGTAGTCAGACTATCTACACAATAGAACATTTATCTATTCAACTTTAATTGGCCTACTCCTGAAGCTCACCTACAGCAATCAGTCAGGGGGAAAAACTGTTCATACTATTGACAGGTTGCCTGATTTGAAGAAAAAAAAAAAGGTTGTTTGTTCATTATCTTTTTGTCATCTGCAAAATTACTTATAGGCTTTTAGACTTATCTGGGGAATTATGTTACATCACCTTTTGTTTTCATTGTCAAAAGATCTGCTCAATCAGTTTCCTTCTTATCAAAAACTATTCACATTCATGGCCAGCTTTCCTATGGGTTAATGTGTTTTAGCATTAGCAAAGCTATGTTTCCTGTATTATAGGCTTATTTTTATTACACCAACAATTTTCCAGCAATAACTTATAGGAAAAAAATGCACATTATCAGCTCGCATGTGATTGTTTAATTTTGATTACAGAATTTAATTACATAATATAATAGAATAGAAATACGCATTACTGTCCAGCCGAAAGGGAAATGTAGGTGTATCAAGAGTATAGCGGAATAATGCAGATTTAAACAATGGTAAAAAAAAAATTAAAAATAATAAAAATAAAAAAAGATAAGCACATAAGGCCAAATTTACAATAGAATAAGAACATACTACACAATTCTTGAAAATAGCATACTCAGAACAAAGAAACTTCCATTTGAATTAAGCCTTCTTGCAAGTTAAATTCTCGTGG